CAGAAAATACCACTGAGCTTGCAGCCTTTTGATTCTAATATTATGACTGGTGCACTATTTTAGGCCAGTGTAAGTGTGATAATAGATGCAAGATTCAAGATTTTATTAAGGCAAATTGCCATTAATTATAATGACGTGTATACATACTTATAAACATATAAACAATTACATAAACATTAAAAAACGAGAAGAGTAATATTATATATATCACAGTCATGAAATAAGTAATAGGATTTGGGCCACAAAAAATGTTCGTCGACCATGCATTTCAAAGTGATTGACAAGTATCAAGAAAGTTTTTTAATTACCCACGGAATTGTTGTCCAAATTCCTTTTCTAGAGGTAGTTCTGTCACACCCAAAATATCACAGAGACGTCGTGCTGAGAAAAATTGAATAACACTTTAATAAAGTGCCATGAAGGGCATGAAAGACCTGTATATACTGCTTGACAACGTTCCTGCACATAAAGGAGATGCTGTAATTGATTTCATTCATTTCGAGAAAAACGAGTTACTTTCTAAAAAATCGTACACCAAATTCTCCAGACTCGGCACACTATGACCTTTTCCTCTTTCCAAGACTGAAAAAAACATCTTGCAGGTTATTGCTACAAGTTATTGAAAGGTATACTTAAGGAGGACTGTGTCGTAATCATGGTTTTAAGTATCGAAAACATACTATTGTAAGTAAACAATTGTGAATCATAAAAAATTCCGGAATCTTTCAAATTAATCAATCTCAGAATAAATTTAGACGTATGATACGAATGTAAGACAAAAAAGGAAACGGAAAGAACGAGGTCAGTATTTGTTTCTTATAAAAGTCACCTATGTTTCATTATTGTTTTGAACATCATAAATCAATCTTTTTGGTTTATTTATATTGCCCTCTATTTCCTAATCGGGATATTTTGGATTTCTGTGTTGACATTTTGGCCAAAAATGCAAAAAAGGGACCCCTCATTATGGTCATTCACTTTCACTTATTAACGCTCCACCTGTCGTATTTGTCATTTAGCAAAATATAAAAACTGCATAAAAATCTGATTGTTGATATACACCGTCTTGCGAGGTATTTATCATTTACGTGAGTCGTTAATTACGCCCGACTGTAACACGAAAGCCTTGAGGTGTACGATTTACAATAAAACAAAACGAAAACATGCCAACGTTTTACTTTGCAAAGAATGTATTTCTCATATATGCATTGTTTGAAGGTGTAAACTAGTACATTTGACCAAACTATTTTTTTGTCCGCTTAGACTGCATAATTAATTTGGCAGCCAAATGTTGTTAAAAGCCCATCGAGTAAAAAACAGAGAGATAGGACCATAAGAAGTTTCTATAACAATGATTGGAGTATAAAAAACGCGCTAATTTAGAACACTTCTATTAAAATATTTGGCGGTGACAGTTATATACAGAGTTGCAACATTCCGAACACCTCGCCGATTTGTCATAATTATCCCGGAACAAAGAGTGTAATCATTTTATAATGAGTAACAAATGTATTAATTTGACAGCTATCGAAAAATAAAATACAGTTTATTCCGCATATATTTTGAAACAAAAATGTGTCCGACAACAAGAAATCTAGAAATCTAATCTTTACTAATTTACTAATTTTAGTCGACTATTACACAATATAATGAAATAAACTAAGTCAACAAATCATAGCTTTGACTTAATATATGTTTTCATGTTTAAATCTGTAGCGTAGATGAGACCGAAAAACCGTATCCCTATCTTACTATTGTCCATCTGATCTCCTCGACTTTGCAATGCCTCTTGGAAGAGCAGGTATCTTACTATTGTTACTATCGTGCCATGAGGCCACTATATCAGAAAGGGTCGCGATGTTGTGATTAGAGTTGCAACAGATTGTGTGCACTTAATTAGAAATTATTTGAACTATCTTTAGCAAATTATTTTTCATAGCAAAAATGTATAAATTGCACGATGGTTTATATCTTATTGAGATTTGATAATTATCAGAATTGTGTTTACTGTAAACAATTAAAGATGAAGCTTATGATACAATAATTTAATCTGTTAAACAAGTTGTACGTTGTTGGTTTTTACCATGTTATGTTATTTTATTATATCGTTTTAAAGGTCAACTTAAATCAAGTTAATTTAAAGTTATAAAAGTAAAACGTACACTTTTTGCTAATTACACTGTATTATGTTTTTACAAACAGTCTGCACCGAGAACTTACCTGTTGGCAATATTTCGGATTTGTCAAAGGGTATTCTATACTCGACCTGGTTTTTTTTAACATGACAGATTACCTATCCATTTGTTTATATGAAAAGCCCTGTGGATGAACTGCTTTCATTTCCAAGATCGTCGAAGTGTTTAAATGGCACTGGTTTAATACGAATTGCTTCGGAACTTCTTTAAAAATCCAAAGGTTCATACTATCTACATATACTTTTTGATAACTTTTGTGCACTTGTAACATACTAACGTTATTAGATTATTTTTAATAATTATAGGTCTTGCATTGTGTGTAAAACATTCAAATATACTCTTTACTCCAATATTGAGGAAGCAAACATGAATTTTATGGTATAACTTAAAGCAACACGCCTCCAGATACGGTAATTTTCATGAAAATTTAGAAAATGTATTTGAATGTGTAATATTGTGAAGTTACCAAAAGGAATCAATTTACACATTAACAATGGCACTTACAAAGCACGTAAATTACCAAAAAGTGGTCAAAATATGCGTAAATAGCCTGTACTGCGTTAGTAACGCAGTAGAAATATAGTTGTAAATACTGAAAAATCAGTCATTAATCGCACATAATAATAATAAAATGTTACTTGAATCTTGAAACTTTAAACTTTCCTTACATCTTAGTACATTTTTCTCAAGTTTGATTTTATTAAAATAGTTTGACTCATCTGGAGGCATGTAGCTTTAAAGCAGTATGCTTCTAGATTCGAGCTTAATTTCATGACAATTTTGAAAATGTACATGTATTTTAAGTAAAATATTGTACATTAAACAATGAAAGTCATTTACACATTTCAAACTGCACTTAAAATCCAAAAATCTGAGCCCTTACTGCGTTAGTCATGCAGTAGAAATATGGAGAAAAGTAAGGCCAATCAGTTAGTAATCGCACCTATAACCTTTTATTTTCCTAACATTTCAGAACATTTTTTTCAAGTTTGTTTATCTTGAAATATTTTGGCCTTACTGAGCTAGGAGGTATGCCGCTTTGAAGCTGGTCATATTTTAGATAAGATAAGTAATATGTGTCATTTCAACTGTTCTGATTTAGAAGCTAAGGAAAATTAAGTGCAAAAAAGGATTATGAAGTATATTTACAAATTACACGGATTCACGGGTCAAGTGCAGTTGACGCGATGCTGATGAATTGATATACATATAAAATTTGTTATACGGCGTTACTTGTCAGTGTAAATACAAAACACATTTAAATAACCCAAAATTATAGTAAACAACTTTCGCTTGATAAATATAAAACTTTGACAGTGAATGCATCAAAAACATAGATTTAAACAATCTAGGTTAAATCCATAAAAAATGCTTTACACAAAAATTCTAGTATAGATGAAAACTATATAATTTCCCTGTGTTTCATAGTATGTATGTATGTATGTATGTATGTATGTATGTATGTATGTATGTACGTACATACGTACGGGCTGAAGGACGGACGTAAGTTCTAAGCCACACAAATGAAAATAGCCATATAAAATCTATTGTCCCTCTAGCCACATTATTATTGTCCCGTGAGAGCGGACGGATGGACGGACAGACGGATGGATGGATGTAGTTTTGTGTTTAAGTGACTTTATGATACAAACAAATTGGCAAAGTTCTTTGCAGCTGTATGGATAGCAAAAGTTTCATTTAGAAACTATGGAATTATTCGTTCGTTAGTTTGCCAAATAAATTTGCAACTTGTTATATAGAGGATGAATACCACTTTGTTTTAAATTGTACTATTTACTTTGACCAATGAAAAGTATTATTTTTTCATTACTCTAGTTAGTTATTTAGTTATTGCTAGATGCATCATAGAACGTTTGAATTTATTGATTTTTTAAAATCATTGACAGGCAATCTGATCTCCTCGGCTATTATGCTTCGCAATAGCCGGGAACAATAAAAAACACCACTATGTTAGATTGAAGGGAAGTAAGGTTTGACAGTATTTTGTTCTGTGTAAGAACATTAAATATTCCAGACAATTGGACATAGAATAAGCTTACATGTACATAATAATATATGACTAAAGTCCATATGGCTGATTTTACTCCGGAGAGTCGGAAGTGACATAAATTGCTCCAGATATCGGAAGCTTAATATGTTTATTCAGATATACCCAATTAAAATTAAATTTTAAAAAGAGACAATGTATTGACAAATGCTCTGACAAATGATAGATATGGTATCTAAAAATATGTATGCGGGAATAAACTCTGGGTATCGGAAGCTTATAAATTTTGTTTCTGAAGTATACGGGAAGAAGCGTTGTTTTACGATTGCGTCAGCAAGATGGTGCTTGAACTCGAAAGATCTCTTTTTACATTCAAAGTGATAATGCATCATAATACCTATTATAACTAACATATAAACGAAATTCAATTCATAAACAAACATTAACGAAGATAAATTTATATTTTCTTCTGACTTTTCAATGTATAACAAACAATAATACTACAAAATATTCAAAAATTAAGACAAAAACTTAACAAATGGACTGCAACACTTTTTGAGTTTCTTGTTTACTAATCTTTATTTTATTAAGTGTGTTAAAAGAAAAATAAATTGCTAATATTCACAAAGCAAGGAAATTTACGTATCGTGTGCAATATATAGAAGTCAAGGTGACATTGAACCTCTGTTGCCAAAATCTTTACATTATTACTTTGCTTGTTCAATATGACATTAAGAATACATTTGCTTATGTTTTACCATCACGATTGGTTTTTGCATTATAAATAAACCATAAAAATGCGTGTCTTGTCAACGCCTTTTGCATGTAACAGCTCTGATTGGCGCGCGCTTGCTGATAAATTGCCGCGCGTGCCTGTGGACAAACATTTAGCAGACGGTGTTTATTTGAAAGTTCTACCGTATAAACGCAAGAAGCGGTAAGACCTTTTTTATTCTACTTTATTAATTCTGTATACTAAATTCTTTTTAACTTTTTACAAAAAAATCTTATTTTAACTCATGTTTGAGTATTTTGATTTAATTATTTATCAAATGTTATTAAATATAACAACTTTAAAAGTTGCATTATGTTATGCACTCAAAATTGTAAAAATAAGTATTCCTTTTATTCGGACATGCATAATATTTTTAAAAAATGCTTAAAAGGTTAATTATTTTAGAAAATCTAGCTAAAAAAACATTAATGCCACCAATTTGAAAAAGCAGTAAGTGAAAATTAATTGATAAATTGTAAGTGGAATATTTTGGTTTCATCTTCAATATTATATTTATATTCAAAATTATTGTTATTTGTAAAACATCACACCGATTACCCATGTGGCTAATGGAATTTTTTTTAGTAGAATCATATATTATACATATATTTGATTTATTTTATATTTAATTATTCGTGTTTTTCGGTATTTTATATGTATACATTTTATGATTTAGCGACTATTTTTCTATCTCTGAAACGTAGATATTAATTATTTATATAATAAAATAATGATTTTTGTCGGATAAATGATATTTTCTGTGCCTGGTAGCTATTTCATAAATATTCGATATAACTATTTTATTGTTTATTGTATTATGTGTTTTATTTTATCTGATTGTATGTATTTTCGTGTGTTTTGTGTTCATTCTTAATTTGAGCCGCGTCACGACAAAACCAACATAATGGGTTTGCGACCAGCATGGATCAAGACCAGCTGCGCATCCGCGCAGTCTGATCAGGATTCATGCTGTTCGCTCACAAACCCTATTACAAGTAGAGAAACTGATAGCGAACAGCATGGATCCTGATCAGACTGATCTGGATCCATGCTGGTTGCAAACACGTTATGTTGGTTTTGTCAGGACACGGCTCATTTTATCAACTAAATGATATTTTTCATAATGATTAAATAGCAACATACATCGCGTGTCTACTGCATGAAGCATATTCCTTAATACATGATTCTGTTTCTTTATTATTGTAGAACTTGACTATTATCATAGTATTGTAATAATCGACTTGTTATGAAAATAAAATCAGTTTGGTTATTTGTACCCTGGACACTGTTTATTCCGTAAGTGTAAACCAATTCTTTTCCCTTTCTACCTACAGGGGTTAATTTATATACATTTCTTTCATTCGAGAACAAATACATTTTAGTGTTATTTTAGTGTTACAAATTGATTATTTATGTCGCAATGGGCTATAAAACAGCCATTTTGATTATAAGATGTGCATTAACATATAAAACAAAGACAACAGTAATAATTAGTCACAGGTGTAGGTGTATAATTATATAAATATGTAAATATAATAACCATTTGTTCGCGTTAACATAATCATCATACTTATAAGGGTCATTTCTTTGCGACAGCATAATTTATTTATGATGATCACTTATTCTTGTTTCTATATATGAGTTATGGAACCATGTAATGTGATGTAAGTGATATACTATTCTGTGACAACATAAGTTAGTGGCAAAGATCACTGGTACATGTCAAATTATGTATTCATTTTATTTTGTTTATTTCAATCTCATACCATTTTATTCATATGTATATAACCATCATTATCTATATAAACACTACAGTAGACTGATACATATACAGCCATTTCAAATTGTACGTAAATCCTCTGAACAAATTAAACGCACAAATAACATAAATTCTTGATAACAACTTTCATGTTGGGATGTAATAGATTTCATTTCATTAATTTCACAGCTAAAGGTTTAAATTTCGAAGCAGCTTTTGGTGCATGCTCTAATTAATGTCTTGTTTGTAAACAAAACTTTCAGTTTAGCGTTTTATAAAATAATGTTCTCCTTATATCCTCATGCATAAGACAATGTAATAAATTATGCATCACTGTTTCTATTACATCACAAAACGGACACTTTAAGAAAACGGACACTTTAAGAAAATGTTTTAAGAAAACGGACACTGTAACAAAACGGACGCTTTAACAAAACGGACATTTTAACAAAACGGACAACATTGATAGCATATAGATCTAAATATCGGCAGTTCGCTGTAACATAGTTTAACCCATTTCCTAATTTACCCCAAATTCTGACTACCCTTAGTTTTACATCTGATGAAATGTATCATTGTGAACATCGCATTCTCACGTTCCCGTGCAATTTCGGGTTTCTTTTGTAGTCACAAAAGCCATCTGACAGGTTTCCGGTCTATATGTGATTCTACCAACTTATCCGTCCATGTAGACATATAAATTCATTTCGCTGCAAATTGCTAAAAACTGGATTTCTAGGGATATAAAATAAACATGTGTCTTATACATGATGTAAAGTTTTTTTTTATTAAAATGCCAATTGGTGTATACCAAGTACAGTTAACATTAAAAGTCAACTTAACTATAAAGGAATAAACATAATTTGTATAACATTTGTAACCTTACGCAATTAAGATTCTTGGTGGGGGCGTCTTTTATTACCTCGTACACACGAACATAGGTTGACAGGGGTCAAGGACAAAATTGCACGCATGCGCAATTATGTCCATAACTTTTATTCTAGGTATTTTATAGCGTTATTGACTCGTTCAACAGGACGATTTTTTTTACAATAATTGTAGTAGACTTGAGTGAAATGACACTGGCAGTTAAGAGATGAACTTTCAATTTATTTGATATCTGTTTAAAACATGTTAAGATAATAGATGAGTTTTCCATTTTTTGTTACTACATGACGTGTTTGATTGACAAAATATGTTTGCCGACGACACTAATTAGTTCTGCTGTACTGTAAATGGTTTAGTTACGGGCCTTTTTTTACTTATTTTTACAGTGAAGAGGAATTCTTAAAGGGAACACATCAAGTTGTTATGAGCAGGGTCTTTGAAATAAAATAGTGAGGAAACGGGCCGATTTTACTAAAATCGATGTCTGGGCTGAGTCATGTTATTAAGTTATCTACTGACCGAGATCTGGCATAGTGCATCACCGTTCAAAAATCAAATTATAAGAAAATGTTTTGTTAAATCGATCAAAAAATACAATCAAAGCACAGAAGGCGCTGAGTTTGTTTGGGTCTCAGAATGTCAGAAAGGTGAAGGTTGTGAGATTATTAACCAATTTGTTTTTGTTTAGTGCCACCAATGCTGTTAACAGTGTTATAACTGTAGTAAATTGGCTATAAGGCTAATTGCAACACTGATATTCAATATAATGTTTATTTGGCTTAACCAATTAAAAAAAGATGCCTAAACTGGGATTTGAACTCCAGACCTCTCGCTTACAAACCGAGCGTCTAACCCCTCGACCACGGTGAAGTTTTAAGATACTAATCTGAAGAAAACCACACTATTCTAAATAAGGGTTTGTAACCCTTACTAATTTCACGGTTAACCTGTTGTTTAACACTGATGTAAATAATCATGAAGCTTAATATAACCATGTTTATCTGTAAATAATAACACAATTTTAGAAATCTTCGACCAATCGTGGACTATTTTTTCTTTCCCGAGAATTAATGCGCCTGTCATTTGACAATCTTTACGCAGTGATTTTCCCTTATTTTTTGGCCATAGTGTACTTATAAAGGGAAGTAATCGCTTCGAGGAGTTTGGACTACTTTCGGTATTTGCAAATAAGCACACCAGGGTCTGAAATTTCGCTACCATTATTTGTTTGGTCTGACGACCCAAACAAATAAAAACCCTAATCATTGCTACATTATCTTATTCTATTTGAAAGGTCTTGATTTGAGCTAGAATTCCTCCTTTTGTAATAAAAAATGAAAATGTACATTATGTATACCAATAACAAAAAGTCCTTTTTATTTTCAAACTTATTGTAATTATATTTTATCTATGCCCGAAAATATCTTGTTAAAGAGGAGTTACAAAGTATCAAAGTTAGGCGAATAGAAAATACTAGTATCTTATACACTGGGTTTGGTAATTTTGTCTTGCTTAAAGTGAAAGCTTTTTTGTACTGACAATTAAATCTACTTATTATACAACTCTTTTTGATGATTTCATTAAGAAATATTTATAAGGTTGTCGGGGACACATAAACATCATGTATAAATGACAGGTAATTTAAAACTCAGTCGCTAACTGCAACTCTCGATATGTCACGGTGTCTGCATACCTTAAAAACGAGAAATATCTATTTCACGGTTGTCATCTTTGCTTCCTTTTTTAGTCTTTTGATTAATATCATCTTCTTTTGTTTCATTTTTTTTCAGGGAATGTTTATCAAAAGTCAGACAAAAAATTGTCACTTTCATCAACATATTACGTAAACATTTGCATTAATAAAAATATGTCCCACAGCGGACTATACATTAGCAGAAAACTCTCAATTTAGTTAATCTTGTATTATTTTATCTAAACAAAAATAAAATAAAGTACACATAAATATTTTAGGAATTCTGAATAGAAGAATAGACAGAAAAGAAAAAGAAAATATACAAATAAACGTTGATAAAATATGCATCTGTATAAAACTGATCAACATAAAATCTTGTCCACTAAACGCTCAGTAAATAGAGTTGGAAAATCTCATCTTTGACTAAGTACCGTAATAAATGTAAAATAAAAGGAACGCAGACTTATATTACAAGTATAGGTTAGAGTGCATATTGGGTGTTCTTCGTAAATAAGAAAGCTAAAAAGGAGCGGAGCTTGCGAAGCGACTGTAGCTTTCTTATTTACGAAGGACATCCAATATATGCACTCTAACCGGCTTAGTGCTCCGCCCACTTGCGTTTTATAATATAAAACGTAAAGTTTATATAAAATCTGTTCTATTAAGATTTGAAACCTGAAAATTTGAAAAATCCTCGTCGGTGATTGGCGAGCACTAACCTTTGATAAGTCTATATATATATTGTAAGAAACAAAATTCCCAAATAAATTTTCCCACAGAATTTAATGTTAATGAGGAAGGTTAATTTAAGTTCACATATAAATTTTAATTTCTAATTATAGATATGATTCTAATAATAGATAAAGGGATGACCGATAAAAAATGCTAGACACACTCATAAAATGTACAATAACGTATAAAACTGTATAATGCCGCTTGATGTATAGATAATGATGACTGTTTAACGTAATAAAAAACGACCAACGTGGTTATTTTAGGAGACAAAGACAAGTTGATTTATGTATTATTTGGGCTACCATTAGCTGACCATTGATTAACAAAAACAAAAACAAAACACAATAAATCGGTTAACCTTTCCACCTTGTAAATGCTATTTCAATCGCACCGTTAATTAAGAAATAGTTGATGTAGACGATTTTAATTAAATGTCTATCCAGTTGATTTGTTAATTTTTAGATTTTTAACGAAACAAAGTCCACTTAAGTAATGAAAGACCATTATAAATATCTTAAGAGTTTCCATTTTCATTGTGTTTTTTTAGCATCAAATATAAATACATGTAGTTACTTGTATAATTACCACAAAAAGGAAAGTTACGTTTTCTTTTCTGATCAGTTTTGTAACTATACCATCAGTAAAATTTAATACTATCATATCTATCCATATCAGGTGACATGCGCACTTCTTTACTTTTTCCTGGCTGCAAGATAACATCCCGTTCCCACGAGATAGTTTATCCCGTCTGCAAGCATATTTAACTAACGTCAATACTCAATGTTTGTTAATATTTTTTTATTGTGTACCGTACGTTGATGTATATTTTCAGGCAGAAGTTCAAAATGAAACTACAAATTTGTTTGTTACTACTAGGTCTCGTCCTTACTCAGGCACAACGGCCAAAAACGCAAACAAAGAAAGGGCCCCCACCAGTAAGAGCTGTACCGCGCAGGAATGACATAAAAGATGTCCCGGACAACGCAGGTCGTGCCCCACCCCCGCCAGTGGCACCGGCAGCTCCTGCCCCACCCCCGCCAGCGGCCCCTCCAGCACGCCGACTTCCTCCAGCACGTGTAGCAGCCCCATCTCCAGTTAGGCGTGGACCACCATCTCCAGTTAGGCGTGGACCACCACCTCCAAGAGTGCGACCGGCACCACCAGCTCCTTTCGTCCATCCAGCTCCCTTGGCTAGACCAAACCCACCAATTACAAGAACCAGAACAATAGGATTCCTAGGTGGACCAGACAGGTTCGTAGCTTATGACCCACTTCCACCAACAACTTACCCACCAACTCCACCTGTTACACGGTATTACCCAACTTACGAACCACGTGAAGTCAAGAAAGAGGAAGAAGAGGAAAGCTCATCTTAAAGTATTTTCTCATTTTAGAATTGCAACATTCATCAAAAACTGATTACGTTAACTTTGATATTTTACAATCTCACAAGAAAAGAAGCAACACGCAAAATTGTAATTTTGTGTTTAGTGTAAGAAAACTAAAAATGAAGAGATTAATATATGTTTTGAAGAGTTGTTGTTTCTTTTGACTATGTTAGCAAAAACAAGTGTTAAAAATTAACACATTATCTTACATGTTAGCAAAACATATTTGTATCTTGATTATCTAAAAGTATTAGCAAATGTATTTACAACCGGAGTGATTTTGTATGGTTATCAAAGTGCGAAAATATTAGCATACCATGTGAATTGCGCTGGCAAATTACCCTTTCCGAACCTCCTTCCGGTAAAATATCCTTGATGCAAGTAGCTGTGATTGAACACAATGCCCGCACTTTACATATTAAAAAAACACCCTCAGTTAAACTGAGATTACAAACAAAACTTATGGGAATACATTAACAATAAAATAGCTAAAAATCACCATATTTCGCAACATTCTACGTTAATAAGCATTCGAATAACTACGAGTATCACATCAGCCTACGGAATATCACGAAGTTTTACGATATTTGAAAGCTGTATCTTTAAAGTACAATCGGCAGTTAATAAGAAGTATCTTTTAAAAAGACACTCAGACGAAGTAAAAATACTTTTACTTGCATATGTTGTTTCGGAGTTTTGTCATAGCAATTAATGTTGTGATCTATGAAACACTGCAAGATATGTTTCTAATTGACACTGTCGTGTTCCGGTAACTTATGTACTCATGTACGTATACATTGATCAATGCTTTAAACGAGTAAATATGAAAAAAATATAAAGCAGTTTTGAAATCTATATCAATAGAAAAAGTCAATAATCACATAATATCATGAACACTGATAATAGTCTTCAGAGAGCACCAGAAAACTTCTTCCTTTTTATTTGCTGTGGTCCTGTATGCCCATGAGTTTCTGGATCGTGAGCGTTATTGGGTCGTTATTTTGGACAAAACTTGTAAAAAGTCAATTATAACTAAAAGTCTTCTTATGTTTGAGAAAAAAAAAATGAAATTTTAACAGCAGTGTAAAATAATGGGAGGAAGCACGTTTCACTTACAAGAAAGTTTGTATCCGATACTCCTTTACAAGATTGAATGATTTTGACGTGTTTACGTTTCAGAAATACCCTTTATATTGTTATATTAATTCAAAAATGGCCAATGAAAACCTTACTTATATTCAGTTCTTCCCTGTAAATTTTACAGGAAGTCAAGACGGACTTTGTCTGGCAAAAAAGGTGATAGATGGTTCTTAAACAGATAACCACTTTGACTTGATTTTCTTTGCGTTAAGGCTAGATTCAATGTTGAATAACAGCTTTAAACATGCGATATTTAACATATTTTGAAATTCAGCTTTGACCTATTTATAGTAATTTATAAAAATGTATTTTTGTCTTAAACGTTAATTTATTCATTTTGAATGGTTGTAAAACATATCAAATAATCCCTTAAAGCAGATATGCATTTGATTTTTATTTTTAAAATTTATTAACAGTAAAATGATGTTATTTTCATCATCTTATGGTGATAGTCTTCAAAGACTTGAAAAATAAAATATTCCGGAACAATATATATGCTGTAATTTTAAGTAGGTCAGCAATGATTTTGTGCGCACGCCATTCGCTCCTGAGGAGATACATAAACATATCAATTTCATATTTTTTGTAAGATTAAAATAATAATAATAAATGTTATATATTAACACAGCAGATATATAGCTTTATACACTTAAAGAACTCTGAAAACTGCAAATTTAAATATATGTATACCACAGCAGTACTAGTGTTGGTTTGATTCTGTTTATGGACGATAATAGTTTCAGGGAAGTGTGAGCAACGGTACACGCCCCTTAGCACCGGCTTAAGTAGTTTTCATCATTTATCAATGGCAACGGTGAAATTTGAAAAATAAAAATATCGCAGGTATGTTAATACGGCGGTTACCATGGAACCTTCAGCGTGACACATTCTAGTCCATGAAAAGCGACGTTTGGTCCCAAAAGATTGTTTGTGCAAATAAAATAAGTATTTCTATTTCCTCCATATTTGGGGAGCAGGGGGAGCTAGAGTGACTGTAAAATAATATTGTCCAAGAGACAATGTGCACTTTAGTTTATACTTTACATAGGACTATATTTTTAAAAATATAAAGATGCTGAACAATTCTTATGAAGAGAAGAAGAAGAAGAAGAAGAAGAAAATAAAAAAACTATATTTACATGATTTATTTCATAAAGCTTTTTTCCACCGACTTTCATATTAAAAAAAGAATGAATATGTACACTGTATACTAACACCGCAAACAAAAACCAAATCAAATACATGTACCATGGAAACATGTTAGTATTTTGAAGGTCTGTTAAAAATACGAACAATTTTCCATCAAGGTCGATTTGATTGCTAATAAATGTTCACAATTTTAAGTAATACATTATTCGAACGTCAAATATGTATTCGCTTTAATTTGTTTTGCTACATGTTCGGATATAGAAGTTTAAATTTGATATCCATGTAATATATAAATAACAAACAAACAACAAATAGTCACACCTGTAGTCAGTTAACAAGGTTATTATTTAGACATATTTACTCACTTGGTATAATATTTGACTGACATTTGTGTCTTTTTTTTATATACACATTCACTTTCGTATATCGTTAAATAACTCATGTTTAAATAGTATAAAGTGAATTCTGAAAAATACCGTCACTCATTTTATTTCTTGAGGTACATTTTATTTCTTGAGGAATTTATTTGAACTTCAAGTCATAACCATCGCAGAAATACTACCAGAATTATCTGCTACGGACGTTAGAATTTTTCTTAATATTTTTTATACTCTTACTCCTTAAGTATAGGGATTAACTTTTAACTTCCAATACATGGAATCAGAAATACGGATTGAATATGCACTAAGGTTCATAACTCGAGCAGCTATATTTCCATAGATATTTACATTAAATTTAAAATATTGAACTTTTCTTAAAAATGCTTTTTTACTCTTACTTCTTTATTGCTTGAAGGACTCATTTGAAACTTCCAATATTATTATAGCTGAATACAGGTTTTCGTAGAATTCACTCTTTATTTCACACCACCATTCAAAATGAACAGTGCTTTTGTATTCTATTAAAGATAAAGTTATTGTAAGTACAATATAGATTAGATATAGAATTTTTGAACTCGGATAATGAAACTGAGGCTAGACAGAGTACAATATAGACTACCTATCGGACACAGGCAAGATTGAGACAGATATGTATACGTATTTGATACGGTTTTTGAGAGATGGCAAATGAAAACGATTCTACATTAATAAGATTGGATTCAATAATGATTTTTCGTGGAACATCACGTGGTGTAAACGCTGGAAGATCATAGGCTACATGTCTATACTAAACGTTTCATATAATAAACTACATCATATGTGATATAGTTATGAACCATAGACAATAATTTCACGCTTTTACTATAGAAACTCGTCGTAAAATATTTTTTCACAAATCATAAACCATATTTTCACAAATCATAAATGCTGTAATTATAAATGAAACTATTGAACAAACTTCAAATATCCAAACCATTTCTGGGCGAATATTTCTATTTTCTATCGTGTTAAGGGTTTAAAGCTATATCTTATGAAATATATTTTATAAAACTTCTCAACTGAAAAATTAGTGTTTCCAAAATCTTATAGTCGATTATCGAAAGAGTTGTAACATAGAATGTCTCTGTTATTAAACACACATGAATATTTTACGTTAATAGAATAAATTTTCCGGAACAAAATATTTTGCTGCGATTTTAAGTTAGGAGTTAACCAATAACCAATGACTTCGTGCATTCGCTTAAAAATTAAGGAAATTTACCTGCCTAATACTTCCATAAAAGTATTTTTGAAGATTTTTTTTTATAATTTAAACGATAAGTTCTCCAGCAAATTTATAACTTTATACACTTTAAGGAGCAATAACTCCTGCAACTTGCGCGCGCTGCTATTGTGCGCACGTCACATACGTGTTTATTGTTTTTGATGTCGCAATTCAAATATAAATACTTACATATGTTACATTGCTTAATACTTAACTCTTAACTATTATGTGAATGTCTTTGAATACTTCAACTAACCGTTGTGTATGATAATGCCATGAACTGTGTTATTGTAAATTATTATAACTGGGAGAGGACATTCATAAGCTTTATAGCTTTCTGCCCAATCCCAAAATGTACTTTGTAAATATGGTTCACTTGTTAAATTTTTTGTTGAATAGATATGTTTAAACAAAATATAAATATAATGTTAATAGAAACCACCAAATTCTGTTGCCGTTTTGAATTATTTTGATATAATCTTTAAAACCCCAAGCTTAATAATCAATGTTCAGCTTTAATTTACGTTTGTAGAGTTCACTTTTTATTTTCTTCAAAATATTATTTATAGACGGAAGTCAGTAGCTGGATCCACTGTTTTCACTTTCACATACGCCAACATCTTTAACAAACCTATTTATGAAGAAACGGAAGTACAGGTTTTGTGCATTGACTAATTCGATACTTTGTTTATGATAAATATTGACTCATTTAATATATAACAAGAAATGATCACTGATACAACGAGTAAGACCGTAACTTTTATACTAATAATTGGCCTTTTACGGCGTTTTTGCACATAGTTGTCAAATATTTATGTCCTTTTTCTTGCTCTGTGCAATTGGTTTAAAATAATGTGCGATTCTTCCGGGCCCCTAGGGAGTCCAAGTGACGTTAACGTTATTTCTCTACGTAATTATTTAATTAAAAACTTTTATCTAAATACTTACGACTTGACAAGCGAGAATTTAATGTTATTTACGTTTTATCTGAAAATTGAATTTTAAAACACTGGGATCTAGTTATTGCATAAAGTGAAAAATATTATTTTCGGATAGTAAATATTCGGATATTTCTTCTAGTCTCGTAGCTGAGCCCGTAAAATTACGTTGAAAACAATTACAGTACAAGGATTAAAGTTAATTACATAAAGCTGATTTTTTTTTAAAAATAATAATACTCATGAATTGCTAAAACAAACTCCTTTATTTGTAATCAAAGGTAGGTAAGTACATAATTTTTTCAATCATAAAGTTTCAATTTTTTATATCTTATTTCATATACGTACAGTCATTTTATTTGTATACTAATATATGTACTCTCTTAGATAATAAATAATAGTGTCGGACCAAAGTTATTTCTTCATTTAAAGTATATTAAGTTGTTATCAAATGAAATTCTCTTTCCTAATCATTGTAGTGGAACATTAGACAATAGTAAGGAAGCGTGTGTTAATGAGATAGATTTATTATATTTATATTATTATGTACTTATTGCATTTATAATTTAAACTATATTTTGAACAATGTAAAAATCTTTTATCAACAGATAAAAACAGATCTACGATGCTGCCTAAAAGTTTATTGGCAGCCATATTGTTCTGTCATAGTATTTACTTAGCGCATGCGCAGTCAACGCCAACTCCCAGCACTATACCTGGACGGGTTTACGAGATGGAAAAAGATGATCTTATACGTACGTTTTTCTTGTAACTTTTATTTATTATCTGTTTTTACTTTCCTCAGACACCTTTATTACTCGACACATAAGTTATACTATATATAACTATTTATTCAAACATTACAACTTGGGAATAAAAGAAAAGAGAAATCAGTCTAAAAAACGTACTGGTATTTATTAACAAAAACGTGTTGGCATGAAAAAGGCCATGGCTGGATATAAGCATTTTAATTATCTAACCTATTGAAATGTCTATGTGTTTCGATTTAAGACTACTAAATGTCTTTACTATAACTGTTTTTGCCCCGGCAACGGTTGCAAAAACGTGGTAGCACATGCTTCTACTCAAGGTACACAGGTACAGATGATGAAATCACTTTACATGTCTGTTTTACAAATTGATCAGCTCCGATAACGGTCGCTGAGAATTATAAGCATGCTCCTTTTTCTATATCTTTCTGTTCCAGCCATGACGTGCTAATATAGTGTTATCTGAAAATATAAAGGGAAAAAAGCAAAAGCAAAGAAAAACAATGAAATTGAACGGGTGGGTTTGTGGTGGGATTCAAGATTTGAAATGTAAATTTTAGATTTTTTAAACGAAGATAAACTAGTCTACCTCTTCTATGGTGAGCCACGATTGAAAGACCGTTCCCAGAATTTGCTCTGCCTTATATATGGCATATTCAAGTGTAAGTTGTCTCCCCTGACAACTCTTTTTGAGGCCCTACTGGGGTGTTATAATAAAAAATGTTAAGTTGTAAGATTTGAATAAAAGATTTAATCCTCTAGCGATAAATCGAATAATATATTCTTTATTTGAGTCTCATCCATACATAACAACATAAAACAATTCAATGACATAATTTTACAAAGTAAAAGTTATTTATGTACGGCCATTCTTATCAGAATTACAAGAGACTATAAAATTTTAATCTAATGGAAGGGAGGCAACTCTGCAAAATGTCCAATGTCACTTACAGAGTACCTCTCTTCTCATTCCATATTCATATGCATATTACAATTTAAAATTGCTAAAATAAGAAACTATTGCTAATCTTGTTCTAAAATACTTAAAGTGTTTCTGGTATTATTGCTTTACAGTAAAAATCCTTAAAATGTTCTCTTCCTTAAACCCGTAAAATTTACACTGATAGCAATAGATTCTTAAACTATAAAATCATGTGAATAAAATTATTTTTCGCATCATTGGAAAGAATAAAAACCTATACTAGTAAAATAAAAACATTATTCACATTTAAGTGACTGTACAAATAATGTCTTTGCCTAAAAATAAAATAAAACGATCAGTTACTAATTATTAACTATGAGTATGTTTACCATTTCAAGAGACCTCGAGAGTTTACAATTACCCTTGTCTAATGATTAAAAGTAATAAAATATTACTAACCATAAAATCAGGCTTATAAATACACTGACTAGTACAATTTCTCAATAATATAATGTAAGACTCTCAGTTTGTTGGATAAAAAGTTTAGCAATTTACAATAACATTATAAGAGACAGTTCTCAGGAATATAACCAGTTAGTTCTACTTTTAAGAATATTGAAACAGGATTTTGCAGCACACTTTACAATTTCAGTATTGGAAAAAATGAACGACAATTTATTGTCATCAGACAGCCTTAAAAATTGATCATTTACATTTTCTGCTTTGGCAAATAAATCTTTCCTAATATCCTCATACCTTGGACAATATAAAATAACATGTTTCTCATCTTCAGTTAGTATGAAAGCCGGTTCCTAGCTACTAACATATCAAAACATCAATTCAAGGTTTCAAAATTTATTGGCAATGCCATAGGCAATATTAACATAAACGTTTATAGCAATGACAAAAATATACATGTCATTCATTAATAACTATATACAAATATATATATAAACACCATGATATGATTTCAGGTATCTTAATTATTAAATACAATTTAATTTTGCTACCCGCAAGTTTAAATAATTCCCTTTGTTATGCGAATCGTCTTCTTAAGCTATTAAAATGAAAAGGCGCCAAAAATTATAACTCATATTATTTTACCATTCAGTATTGAACGTGGCGGCAAAAGGGCGGGTTGTGGAACTGTTAGCAGATGAGCTTGCACGGACGGAAATAATCCGGGCACTTCTTGTTGAGTATGGCCGGGAATGTGTGGAGAATGTGACGTTACTTGAGAAACATTGCCTTGATTGTATGATGGATAGATGCAGCAACAGGTATCTATTTGATGTCACTAAACTTTATTAGCATTTAGTGGTGCTCTAGTGGTAAAAGTGTTTACCTCTCAACTTATAGCATCGTATGTTCCAGCCCTACTCGGGCCACAGGCATTAAATTCTCATTTGGCATATGACACCAGTACTGGTTACTTCTAGGAAGAGGACTGTTAAGAAAAAAAAGAAGCTTTTTATAATCTAGCTTAAATAAATATGTCTAAACTTAACTAAATTTGTGTTACATTTCTGTTTTGTCTATATGGAAACTTTGAACAACATAAGAAAATTAATTAAAAATTAAATCTTGATTATTTAATACACATGTAGAAGATATGTACTCGTATACAATAAAGTGGTAGCAATGTATTTTCATTTCAGTCATATTTGTTCCTATAAATACTGTTTTACATATTACAGGATGTCAGAGTGTCATATAGATGGCCCACCATTATCAGAGGTTATAAACCACAGTCCAAGTCCCATCCAGGGCCTCCAGTTCTTGTCAAATTCGCCTCGAGTTGTAAACGAGGGAATGAAAAAATTTGCCAAAAGAGCTCGAACGGACATCTTAAAAGGTAATGCTAAGTCTTGTGAATAAAATTAATGTTAGTGATGTACAAATGAGTTTCCGTAATGTATACAATCTTAAGTGGTTTTGACTGAGTAACGGGAATATGAAAAGTGCTAAAATAAGTACAACCAGATTTATTGAATTGGCGTTCAAGACTGCGATTTAAAACTTATGTTACCTCAGGATATACCGTAAATCATTTAATGCTAGACATTTTAGATAACCCAGCGTTTTATACATTTCTATTCCTGACGAACATTGACTCTTGTGTAAAAAGTGATATTGCAAAATTTGAAGAAAAAAAAAATAGAATAATTAAATACTAGTATATCGTGCATGCCTACTGGACGTGAGTGGTTATTCAGATAATGTCCGCAGACTTTCTACAAAAAGAGCTACAACAAATACTTTCCTGTTGATTTATTTCGGGATGTTGAATGTTTATAACTGCACAATTAAACGTGCAATTCTAACTTTGCATTGAGCGACTCTAAAGTTCCTTTATTTTACTATTACAAAAGAAAAATAACAATGATATATTAATATTGCTGTCTGATATACTTTCTGATCACCTTTTTAAAGGACAAATAAAATTCATTTTTAAGCGTGTTGATGTCTTCGTTTTCTAAATCTGATCGGATTTTCGATATTTTAACCATTTCTTTTTCAATCAATGGTCTGTGTATATTGTTCAGATGTACCTGAAACTTTACGAGAAGAGGGGGAAGCTATCATGCATGCAGAAGTAGACCAAAGTTTACAAGATCTAAAAGAAAACATGCAAACGGAAAAGGCTTTACAAAAGCTCAGTTTGCACGTGCAAAAGGCAGCAGATAATGTGAAAAACCTACCAGACGTTGGTGATAAACTTGGCACAATTATTGTAGGTAAGAAATCTGTTAGACTACTTAAAAGTGAGGTAAAGTGTAAAACTTTTGATATTTTAAACAGAGGCAAAATATGTAAAGGTAAACTCCATCTGCTCAAACTTTGGCATTTTCAATATTTATAGCCTACATGTTTTACCTATACAGGATGGCAGTAATATTTAAAACGTAAATTCAGGTATAAAATGTATGTATAATAATATAAAATAGATTTATGTGAAAACTGTATAAAAAATATACATATCTAATAAAACAAGTTTAGAAAAAATATTGATAGATTTTTAAGTAATGCATTGATTCTTTTTGTTGTTTATATCCAGAATAAACATGCTTATGTTTGACACTAAAATGACTTTATAGCAGACATAAAGTATAATATAAAGTATTATTTCTGTTTTTCTATGTCAGAAAATGAAGATCACGCCATTAATCTGGCCGAGCTTCTCGCTAGACGCCTGAAGAGTTCTCGCCCCTTCTTGGAATCAATCAATCACAATGGTGCACGTGTTATAGAACAAATGCCGTCAGTTCTCGACAAAGTTGGGGAGCGTGTCAAAGTATTCAAGGAGAAGGTTTCTGGTGTCTTCAACAAAGTTCTCGACACTTTCCATACAGTCATCAGTATGTATTTGTGCTTGTAAAACATATGTAAACTGATATGTAAACTGATATGTTGATTTATCATTAATCATTAACCCGTTTAGAGCGACCATTTCAGCTTGGTACCAGACTAGACGTGAAACACTTCTCTTGTACTTAGCAGTTTGATCACCCTTTTTTAGCTCACCTGTCACTTGGTGACAGGGTGAGCTTTTGTGATCGCTTTTCGTCCGGCGTCCGTCCGTCCGTCCGTCGTCCGTCCGTCCGTAAACTTTTACTTTAAATGACATCTCCTCATAAACCACTAAGCCAATTTCATCCAAACTTCACAGGAATGTTCCTTTGGTGGTCAACTTTAAATATTGTTCAAAGAATTTAATTCCATGCAGAACTCTGGTTGCCATGGCAACCGAAAGAAAAAACTTTAAATATCTTCTTTTAAAAAACCCAAAGAGCTAGAGCTTAGATATTTGGCATGAAACATCTTCTAGCGATTGTCTACAAAAGTTATTCAAATAAAAGCCCTGGGGTCAAAATTGGCCCCGCCCTAGGGGGTCATTGATTTTCCCTATATGCATATTATAAAAACTTAAAAAATCTTCTTTTAAAGAACCAAAAGAGCTAGAGCTTAGATATTTGGCATGAAACATCTTCTAATAAGTGTCTATCAAGTTTGTTCAAATAAAAGCCCTGGGGTCAAAATTGGCCCCGCCCCACGGGGTCATTGATTTTCCCTATATGCATATAGTAAAAACTTAAAAAATCTTCTTTTAAAGAACTCAAAAAGCTAGAGCTAAGATATTTAGCATGAAACATGTTCTAGTAAGTGTCTACCAGGTTTGTTCAAATAAAAGCCCTGGGGTCAAAATTGGCCCCGCCATGGGGGTCATTGATTTTCCTTATATATGTGTATAGCAAAAACTTAAAAAATCTTCTTTGGAAAAACCTAAATAGCTAGAGTTTAGATATCAAGCATGAAACATCTTCTAGTGAGTGTCTACAAAGTTTGTTCAGATAAAAGCCCTGGGGTCAAAATTGGCCCTGCCCCGGGGGTCATTGATTTTCCTTATGTGTATAGCAAAAACTTAAAAAACCTTCTTTGAAAAAAACCCAAATAACTAGAGTTTAGATATTAAGCATGAAACATGTTCTAGTAAGTGTCTACAAAGTTTGTTAAAATAAAAGCCCTGGGGTCAAAACTGGCCCCGCCCCAGGGATTTCAATGTTTTAAACTGTATTTGTATAGTAAAAACTTAAAAAAATCTTCTTTTAAAAAACCCAATGAGATACAGCTTAGATGTTTAGCATGAAACATCTTCTTATGGGTGTCTACCAAGTTTGTTCAAATAAAAGCCCTTGGGTTAAAATTGGCCCTGCCAGGGGTGTGGGGGGGCAGATCATTGTTTTTCATTATATGTGTGTAGTAAAAACTTAACATCATGAAACATCTTCTTATGGGTGTCTTCCAAGTTTGTTCAAATAAAAGCCCTGGGGTCAAAATTGGCCCTGCCCCGGGGGTCATTGATTTTCCTTATGTGTATAGCAAAAACTTAAAAAACCTTCTTTGAAAAAAACCCAAATAACTAGAGTTTAGATATTAAGCATGAAACATGTTCTAGTAAGTGTCTACAAAGTTTGTTAAAATAAAAGCCCTGGGGTCAAAACTGGCCCCGCCCCAGGGATTTCAATGTTTTAAACTGTATTTGTATAGTAAAAACTTAAAAAAATCTTCTTTTAAAAAACCCAATGAGATACAGCTTAGATGTTTAGCATGAAACATCTTCTTATGGGTGTCTACCAAGTTTGTTCAAATAAAAGCCCTTGGGTTAAAATTGGCCCTGCCAGGGGTGTGGGGGGGCAGATCATTGTTTTTCATTATATGTGTGTAGTAAAAACTTAACATCATGAAACATCTTCTTATGGGTGTCTTCCAAGTTTGTTCAAATAAAAGCCCTGGGGTTTAAACTGGCCCCGCACCGGCGTCCTATATACAGGTGAGCGACCTCAGGGCCATCATGGCCCTCTTGTTTCTTTTTTTTATTTATTGTTTTGTCCATTTCGAATAAATCTTATAATTTTAAGAAAATAACTGATGACACTTCAGTAAATGACAATATTCCCAGCATGCATAAATAAAAATGAAGACTGATTTTTCTGTTCCTTGATGTTCATGTGGATAAACAAATTTATCACATACCGTGCTGCTTTTGCGACTCCGTAAAAAATGTATTGCACAAACATAGTGTAAAGACGCGCTAAATATTAGCGTTAAAATAAAGGCGTTTCAATGAAAAATAGCTCTTTTTTACTTTAAAAAGTCTTAATTTTTGATATGTGGAAAATAGAATATTAAATTCGAGTAAGTTCATTACTAAATTTATTGAATTGAACTTAAACTCATCCCTTTATGTTTAAACGGCACGTATGTGAACATAAATGTCTTCTCCAAAGATATCATGAAATAAAGCTATATGCATAATTTTATTCCATAGGGAAAATCTACTCATGTTAATTATTTTAATGCAAATTATAATATCTTTTTTAAATATTGGAAAACATTGAATAAATGTACAATTGTATTTTTTAAACAAATAGTCATTTTGAAAACAACCACTATATAAATATGTACATATTTAAATTTGCGTTAATTTACTTTTTTTGCAGACGATCCTGAGACTCCTGTGATGAATGGAAATCTTCAGCAGCAAAACGTCATGAGTCAAAATCAAAACCCAAATCAACAAATAGGTGGTATACAGTTCCAAAGTCAACAGGGCATTTTTAGAGGAATGTCATCGCCTAGACATCAACAGTTCAATCCACAGCAATTCCGCCAACCACAGGGTGGTCAATGGCCAGCAGTTTTAAATAACCCTGCACAATTCAATCAAGGTCAGACGGCACCTAATCAACAATTCAATCAAATACGGCTCCCCCCTCCTCCACAGAACATGAATCCTGCATTTAACCCCAACCTTCCGCAACATCGTCAGGTTAATCAAATACCAGGAAGTACTGTGCCTAGTCCGGGTCACGTGCAAGCAGGCAGGCGTCGGAGACACACAGATCCCGACTGCAAGCGCCTGAAAGATGATCCAGATACGTACTGTCGAACTTACGAATCACTTTGTCATAACTGTACATTAGAGAAAAGGCTCAGATTTGAAGGTAAGAAAGAAACAAAGATATTTATAAGAGGCTATGGTTGAAATAAATTTAATCAAAATGCTCTTTTACTTTAAGTCAAAATCGTCAAATTTTTTGTTTTATTTACAAAATAAAAATTAAAATGATAAAAATTTACTAAATATAATTAAAACTTTTTATTTAAACGAGAGGAACGTCTTTGAACAAAATATAATTTTAATATGCCTAACAAGGGGAAAAACTACTCAATGTTAAAAATTTATTTTAACAAATTAAAATATCTTAAATGTTAAAACTTTAAGAATTATCAATTTGTATAACAAATGTCTTTTGAAAACAACCTCAATTAATATGCCCAGGAGGCCATGGTCCAAATCAAAAACCAGCCTCGTTTCCGATTTACTTGGAGTGTCAAGCGAATAGATGTCCACTCGTTTCCGAAAGATTTACTAAATTATGCAACAGATTAATCAGAGATGTTGGTAAAAATATATGAACATTGTAAAAACATTTTAAACGTTACAGGTATACACGCCCTCGTTTCCGATTTACTTCTGTTACGTTATGAAATATCATTTGATTTTTTTATTATTAGTTTAATATTCGGTTATTCGTATTATTCATATATTTCTTTGGTTATATTTTTCAGTGTGTGGTGATGGTGTAGAAAAAGCACGTGATGAAATCAAGAGAATGGACAAATCTGTTGAGAACTACCTTAAAGCTTACGAAGACTACATTGCTGGTGATAATCTGGTCTTTAAGGTAAAATGCCCTTTATATTTTATATCATACTAGTATGCACATTCTCACAAATGTGTTGATTTTCTTATTTAATATACGTCTATGTAAATGAATAACCAACCGGTTTGAATCTCGGATATACATAAAATAAGCACTTTGGTTTTCTTTCTTCTTCTATCAAATTGTTACAATAAACTTGCCTTTTTATGCCACTAATACACAGTTTACATATGTTCTGCATGTCGATCAACGTCGATATCCTATCACTTTAAAATAATTCTGCAAAAAATATTGTTATGGTGTAATCTTCGTAAAAACAGAAAAACCATGTAAGCAAAATTAAAATTTTGCCAACAAATTGGCTTATAGCTTCCAACACAATCGAACTAAAATAATTTTGTATAAACTAAACTAAACTAAACTAATTGGAAACAAACATTTTATACATGTAGAATACTTGAAGTAAATGCTTGATACTTTTTCAGGTTGAATTAAACACCACAAATCGTCTTCATAAGACAAATTCGTTTTTCGATGCGTTTGTAACAGCTAAAATCGGACCGTCAATATTTCGTTATACCACCAAAATGATACTAAATATTGACGATATTCGCTCAACTGGTCTCCAAATCGGTGATGAACTGTGGGAAAAACTTTGGGAAAATAACGTATTTGAAGAAGCCAGAAAACCGGAAATTGTCCCTCAAACTTTTCACATTATGGGACAAGTTCACATAAAGGATGTTCATCAGGCGCATGCTCATAGTCAGGAGACCGGAAGTGCGTCATTGCCGCGTGTTGGGTGGACGAGTTTCATATCCGTGTTATTTGCACTCGTCTTCATCTTCGTGTAACTTAAGTTGTGCATATTTTTGCAATTTATTTATTTTGCAAATCAAAAAGTGTATTTTCAATACCACATAATGTTCCATTTTATTTCAAATATACTTTCTTTATTTATAACAAAATCTTTGGAACGCACAAAGGTATATTTTAAAGGTGAAACGTCTGCTCACGTACATTGCCTTCTCCCAGAAATCATTGTAAATATTTCCGTTCTGTTTCTCCAACACAATTTTTGTGTAAGCTTGAAATTATATTTATTATATTGTCATTTTTGCATTTTTATGATGTTTTTTTAATTGATAACCTTGTTTGATATAACTTAATGAATAATTATTTATATAACGTTGTTTAATAAATCTGTATTGTACATGGTTATATTTTATTTCAAATAAAAGGTGTAGAAATTAGTATTTATTGCAATTCTTATTTTACATCCTGAATGGATACATTAGAGAACGCCCAAAACGCTAAAACTGAAAAAAAAAAACTGTTGAAAAAAAAAACTGTTGCCGGTAAGGGTCTACTGAGGCTGTTCATAGACGGTAAGTGGTGAACGCAAGCTACCATCCACAGGACCCTATATTATCGAGTATTTCAACATGAACACGGTGAATGTTTTAATTCTGAGACATTCGCACATGTATTCAAACGGCGGTTTTCATAGAAACTTCAATGTGACTTTGTTCACTGTCCTAAAAGAGAAAAATATTTTGGCGGAAATAAATAAAAGCACATTTTGATTATGAAACCGGCCTATCACAAACAGACGTCAGAAAACAAATATGTAAAATAAGCATTATATACGTACTAAACATATAACATGAGCACCACAATGTTTATCCCGTTATGCAACAATGTGAAAACAACGTGGCAATTGTGCAAGTTGACGCCGAAAAAGTGCAATTATGGCTTGATAGAGTAAGTATTAAACAGTCAGGTCGCCATTCCTACAAAATAATAATCTTGAAAGCTAAAAATATTCCTGAAATATTTGTATTGAAGGTTAAGATATGCTGTTATAAAAGCAGTATACGTTAGTTCATTCGTTTCAAGTTTATTTACTTTAAAACTTTGTTCTGTTTTCTTACCGTGTAACTCGTTTCATCCATAGATATGCATGCTTCCAACTCCTTCGCAACTCCTAGTACATTTCTTCGTTACGGGATATATGCGGAGTACACCCAGCAATGATATCAAAAACACTTTATCTCGGGCAGAAGATCAACATTTACAGACAAAATATAACAAGGGATAACAATGTTATGCCTGTATTGTTAAAGAAACACATTTATCTCCATTTTCTTGCCGAGCTGTTAAAATGTTTTCTTCCTATCAATCAGGATATGAGGTCGATAAAAATGATAAATGATCATCCTAGATATTTAATGCTGATCAAAACGAACGTGCAGTTCGTCTGTTCTTCTGTTGACTTTTATCTAAGGAGAAAACAGACGATAACTTGTTAACTATTATCTTTATAAAAGGAGAGTGAGATTTTCAATTAAAGTTTTCAATCGCGGTTGTCCAAGTATTGTCCTATGCTTTAGAAAAATAACAACAGCATCTAATCACCAGTGAAATATCGAAATCGTTTGTATAATTGTTCCTTGTAACGGATGTTTTTCTTCCTCACATCTCTATCGTTATCCTATCTTTAGCCTGCTGGCAGAAACAGATTCTACCGCAGAATTGTGTTGTGGTGGTGGTGTTGGTAGTTTTCACTCCGGATCACGACAGTAAGCCTGGGACATTGCACAGTTCAACCACCGCATCGTGTTGTAATAGTAAATTGCTTATTTCTATACCAACATACGAAAGGCACGTTAAAAATCTTAATATAAGCTGCTTTGAAAAAACTCTTACTTCACCATCTATAATAATTATTATAGATAATATGAACTATTTATAAAACAGCTTATATTAAGATTTTTTGACAAATATGTGCTGACAAATATGCATTTTTTCTGGATTTTAAGGCGTTTGGAGCTTCACACCCCCAAGTGTCTATGATGAAAGGGACGCAACTACATTACATTAATTTAATTGACATATAACAGTTATCTTTCCTATGGCATTTATAAGAACCAATTAAAGTGGGTTTCTACAATTGGCTAATTCAGTATTTTATGTTAATAAAAATAATAGAAATCCATCATTTCGATAGTTTTAGAAAAAAATATTGCTTGAAAATTAAAGCTCTAAGTGAATAAATATAAACATTTATATGATGAATAATAAAATGTGTTTCTAGAACAATATATTATCTGCTATATGTAATATGTCTGATAATAAATAGTATCAATATAATTATTAATTGCATTACATACCTTTTTTTTAATTATAGACCAATTTATTTTAAATGTATGATTTGAATTTTGCAACGATCGGTTTGAAAATAAAGAGATTTAAATATAGAAAATATGAAGAAAAAGAGTCACTAATTGTCTTGTCATGTCCAAGCTTACCTTATATGGTAAAAGCTATCCACGTTCGGTAAATGGGAGAATGACTAAAATAAGGCAAAAATTAGAATAACAAGCAAATCTCGTGTCTTCATTTTGTTGAATATTATATTACATAAATTCTTTAAGTAATATTTGAACATTTTTCGTTCACATAGTGGCGTACCGCATAGTTTTCAAGTATTACATAAGCAGTTTTAGAAATAAAACGGTCAACGACAAACCCCAGGACTAGTTATCGAAAAAAAAACACACCCTGTTATAATGTATTTGTATAGTGAAAAGTAAATATTGAATCAATTTATTCTATTTAAAATACTCCCGGAAATAATTGATAACTTGTGTGGGTGTGCTACGTTTCTGTTTGTATTTTGAGCATATTTTGTCCCCTCTCGTGAACAAATATAGGTATAACAATGTAAATAAAACAATTAGCTTAACCGTATTACGTCAAATGAAGTGTATTACGTAAAGAGACATATGGTTTTATATAACTTTTATTTGAAAAAAACTGTTCTTTTAATATCTTTATAGCCTTTTCCTTTTATTGAATGCTGTTTTATTAATTTACATTAAAACAATGTTTGTGATATATCACAATATAGAAATTCTAAGTATACATAAGAAAACAGTCTGTTATGAAAATGTCAATATTATTAGACAAGAAAATAAAAAAATGGATAAAATTAAAAAGACAATAATGGTTGCCATGACAGCATCTGAAATATTAAAAAAAGAAAGAAAAAAAAGAAAGAAATTGAAATATGATAATGTTAGCACTACTTAATGTTAACATTATCATATTTTGCCATCAGTACCATTTCCAATGCGGGTAATCTCACACATTAAGTCGTTGTTATAATAATGCCATAATATTAATTGAAATTAATTTCAATTAATATTATGACATTATTATAACAACGACTTAATTTGTCAAATTACCCGCATTGGAAATGGTACTGATGGCAAAATAAAACCCACTGAACTTGCCAGAAACGGTCGTGATTTTAGTCTTTCTCACCAGCAAAGAGCCAGAAATGTCTGCACATAGGTGCAGTCTGACCAGGATCGATCTAATGGTAGCCCACTTCATTTGATCTAAAAAAAAATGCAAAAAAAATTCCGTAAAATACACATTTAAAACACATTACAGCTTTTATTATTTTTGCATCTATAGATAGATAAAATTAGATAAATTGTTTATTACAGTGTTATGTGTTACAACGTACAATATTCACTTTTTCGAAATATAATAAATCAGTTAACACCCTAAGTCAGCTCAAAGTCTATGAAAGCTATATCTAAGAATAATGTTGTTCCCTTAAAAAACAGACTAAATTAAACACGTGTGCATGTTTGTTTTAAAGAAATTAAATGGAATTATTAAACGATCAAATGGAACGTGTATAAAACAAACATAGAATGAAAAATATAAATAATGAGCCGCGTCACGACAAAACCAATATAATGGGTTTGCGACCAGCATGGATCCAGACCAGCCTGCGCATCCGCGCAGTCTGATCAGGATCCATGCTGTTCGCTTACAGACCCTATAACAAGTAAAGAAACTGGTAGCGAACAGCATGGATCCTGATCAGAATGCGCGGATGCGCAGACTGGTCTGGATCCATGCTGGTCGCAAACCCACTATGTTGGTTTTGTCGTGACGTGGCTCATATGTAGATCTACATGTATACATAGCATCTATAAGTCAAGGTCTGTTTTTAAAAACGGACATTTTATTCAAGTTTACGTACATTTGATAATTAAAACTACACGTGAATTATAAGCTGAAATATCTTTTTCATTACTAAATAAAATCTTCAAATTATAAATTTAGCTGTTCAAGCATACTGCAAATATTGACTCAAAATGAATAAATAGTTTATTTTAAGAAAGCCACATAGTTAATTAACTCGACTTTCAAAAGAAGAATATTAAAAATTCAATAAATTTTTCTTTTTTTTAATGTATAAATAAACATCTTGAGAATTTATCATAACAACCCAGCAGGTGTCAAATAAATACAGTCCAATAATCCATTTCAGTATTGCTACCGGAAGTTTGTTGATCATATTGTATCTTGAGATAGTATATCTTCAACTTGTATTGCCATGTACCTTGGGAGGAAATAAAAAGATCAATCATGTTCTGTTCTGTTATATTTTGGTGGTCCTTCTTGAGGATCGACTTCCGTTTATTAAGACGGTGCTAGGGTGCGTGAGAGACAATGCACTTTTACACTATATCTCATTAACAGACTCAACAAAACGGATACTGCTTTAACGATTTTCAACGATTTGTTTATTTTATAGATCTAACTAGTCTACATTTTGACAATTTAGTGACTAACATGTACGTCAACAGAAACAATTAAATTTTCCAGCTCAGGTTTTACTATACTTGTATCATTCAGTGTACTTGTAAACTTTTTGAACAATTATTCGCTATAATTCAGTTGAAATTTGATTGAGATGAAAATGAGGACTAGTAAGCATTGTTAGATAAGCAGTTAACCGTCAATTTTATTATTAGCTCTTGTTTGTTATTTATCTGTTTTGTTTTTACACTGATTTTAACACGTTTTGCTTTTGATGAAATAGAGAAAAACAGAATCCCTAAAGAAAGTCCAACACAACAAAATTGAAAATGTTGCAGGCTCGGTTTGATTGAGCCTGTTCATGGACGGTACTGTAAAGTGCAAGTTATATCGTCCACGCCCCCTAGCACCGGCTTAAGCAGAATTCAACATTTAACATGAAAATGGTGAAATTTTGAATTTAGGACATCCGCAGATGTGTTCATACGACGGTTATCATGGAACCTTCAACGTGACACAGTAGTGCCATTCCATGAAAAGCGGCGTATGGTCCCCAAGTAAAAGAATGTTTTTGCCCTAAACGAGATAACAATGGGCGGAACTAAATAAAATG